ACCTATGAGTTATGGTTTTTTCGTAAAGGCCGATGACCACATACCAAAAGAACTGCTTGAAGAATATGAAATACCAACATCGCCAGTTATATACCGCGGAAGTGATCAAAATAAAGAGGTAGAAAACATTTTATACAAAGTATTGTGGAAATAGCAGAAAAAATAGACAAACTACTAAAAACCATTATACCTATAATTTGGACACATGAACAACGGCGATTACATGTTGCATGTACAACATGTAATTTATGCAAAAAGGGATTTTCAAAAGAAAACCATAAAGTGGCAGATCACTGTCATATATCTGGCAAATTCAGGCAAACATTGTGTAATTCATGTAATCTCAAGCTTCAACAACCAAATTTCGTACCGGTTTTCTTTCACAATTTAACCAACTATGATGCTCACTTTTTGGTAACTGAGCTTGGATATGACACAACCACAATTTCTGTAATACCAAACAGCGAGGAGAAATTTATTTCGTTTTCGAAATATATCAACAACTCCTTCACAATCCGCTTCATAGATACATTTAGATTTATGGCCTCCAGTTTATCGACTTTAGCCAAAAATTTAATAACGCCTAAGTTCGAGAAGTTCAGAGAAACCTCCAAACATTTTGTCGCTGGAGATATGCCACTCGTGACTCGTAAGGGGGTGTACCCTTATGAGTACACTGATAGTTGGAGCAAGTTGGAGGAAACCCATTTGCCGAAGAAAGCAGATTTTTATAGTACGTTGACTGAAGAACATATATGCGATAGTAAATACGAACACGCAATCGCAGTATGGAACTATTTCAAATGCAAAAACTTGGGAGAATATTCAGACCTATATTTGAAAATCGACATAATGCTGTTAGCTGATGTGTTTGAGAACTTCCGAGACCTTTGTTTAGCCACATACACCTTAGACCCGGCATTCCACTACACTTGTCCAGGCTTCTCTTTTGATGCGATGTTGAAACATACTTCAATGAAACTTGAACTACTTCATGACTATGATATGTTGCTGATGATTGAAAAAGGTAATGATATAATATTTTATAATATAATGTTATTATTTAATAATATATGATTTATTTTAGGTATACGTGGTGGTCTTACACAAGCAAGTATGAGATACGCCAAGGCGAACCATAAAAAGACTCCGGATTATGACCAGACAAATCCAAAATCATGGTTGATATACCAAGACTGTAAGTTTTTTATAATTTTAATTTATTCAGTTAAATATATTTTTCTTAATTTAAGGCAATAACTTGTATGGATGGGCCATGTCACAATACATGCCATATGGAGGGTTCAAATGGGTTGAATCAACACTCGAAGGACTAAACGACTTGACTGATACTTCTTCCATAGGAAAGATATACGAGGTGGATATATCCTATCCACAAGAATTACATGATAAACACAACGACTTGCCTTTTCTACCACAGAACGGTATACCTGCTAATTCAAAAGTGAAGAAACTAATGGCAACATTAGAGCCCAAGAAAAATTATATTGTTCACCACCGTAATCTACAGCAAGCCATTAAAAACGGTCTTAAAGTAGATAAAGTAAGAGTTTATTTTACAACAATTATGCGATGAAGACATTTTTAACATTATAATATTTAAAGGTACATAGAGTCATTGAGTTTAATCAGCCGGCATGGTTGGCTGATTACATCAACCTGAATACTGAGTTACGCAAGAAGGCCACAAATGATTTCGAGAAAGATTTTTTTAAATTAATGAACAATGCAGTATTTGGTATGTTATTATAAATTATAATTTTTAATTTTTCATAACATTTTCTTATGATTTTCCAGGCAAGACGATGGAAAATGTACGTCAACGTATAAAAATCAAGTTAGTATCCAGTGAAAAGTGTTTGCAGAAACTTATAAATAAGTCCACGTTTAAGCACTGCACGACTTATAATGAAAATGTAGCAGCTGTGTCGCTAGAGAATAAGGAGATTAAATTTGATAAGCCAATATATATAGGTAACTATTACACACACACACACACACACACAAATATTATATTTTAATGTTATTAATTTCAAATTAATTGATTATTGTTTTTTATTATAGGTTTTGCGGTACTTGATATAAGTAAAACTCTTATGTATGAGTATCATTACGATGTCATGCAAAAACATTATGGCGAAAAAATAGAACTCATGTATACAGATACAGGTAAATATTTTAAAACCGACTTTATTTTCTTATACTAACATTAATTTTTTAGATTCACTGGTGTACTATATTATTACGGATGACTTTTACCAGGACTTGGCAAATAACGCAAACATGCTAGACAAGATGGATACAGCAAATCTCCCGAAAGACCTTCCATGCTACATTCCCGACCGTAAGAAGATCCCGGGGTTGTTTTCCGACGAGACGAATGGACTCGTTATGACAGAGTTTTGTGCATTACGAGCAAAATCATATGCATACAAGCTTAATGGGACTGAAAAAATCAAAGCCAAAGGAATCTGTGGGCATTTGGTAAAGAACCACATGACATTCAATGACCATAAGAAGTGTCTGTTTGGTGACAGTGATTTAGACGTTTACCGTCAAAATGTCTCCATCCGCTCATTCAAACACCAGCTTAAGACTATAGTATCAAAAAAAATTAACTTACAATAACTTTGACGATAAGAGAGTTATTCTAGAGGATAAAATCCATACCATGGCTCATGGACATTTTAAACTCGATTGTTAATTGTATACATAAATATAATATATTTGTAAATTATATTTAATTTTATAAATGTTAAGGTTAATTTATTTTTATTTTGTGAAATATATCTATAGATATCAATTAGTTTATTATTTTTTTTGTAAAATAGCTTTATAGATATAATTTTGTTTTGTTTTTTTTATTTTGTAAAATATCTCTATAGATATTAAGAGGACGCCACACCGAAAGCGAAACGTATACAACGACCGAGAGAACGCGCTGTTAGGTGTTTTCGCGATCCGCAAGCAAGCGACGCTTAAGCCGCGCCCACTACTCACAGTCGGCGGCTGGCCGACAATTTTGCTCATTCGGGAGCGATGTTTATTATTTTATCAACCTTCGTCTGTGGCGGATCACATAAATATAAAATGCATACACGTATATTATACCGCATTACCGCCGTAATATTTTTAATATTCGAGCGTACCTTTACGCGGCTTATATTTATTGCATTATTAAATACTTACTTCGTAAAGAATGTATTCAATACAGTAAATAATATTATCTAATATATAACTGTAATTTAAACTAGTATTACCTAAATATTATATTTTAGTAGGTTAATTTTATTTTTAGAGGTTACAAAGAATGATATCAAACGTTTAAACAAATAAATTAGATGTTTTTATAATTACACCAGATCAGTTGTTGTCAGAAATAAAACAAATAGAAAATATTCTACCTAAAAATTTACAAATCCCTATCAAATTTAATGAAACTAATATACAAGAAATATACAAAATATTACATATAGACCTTCACCCAATGAACGATAGAATAATATTTTCAATAAAAATTCCACTATGTAGCGGCGAAATTTTTAATTTGTATTATATTATACCAATATACGTTCCAATTAATGAACACGGACAATTTATACATATCGCTGAAAATCCAACGTATTTATTAACAGATGATGTGTTGACAAAATATTTTATTTGGTCAAATATCAATAACTGTTTAATAGTTGCCAACATTTTTGTTTGCGGTTTCAATGAAATGTTACACAATAGTGATACTGATCCTACTTGTGTAACAGAAATATTAAAAAATGATTTAACTAAACCTACGCAATGAGATACTTATATCACGGAATTTAAAAAAGAATTATGGTACCCAACCTTTTTCAAAAATAATTGTTTACTTTGTGTGTGAAAAGCCTACAACAATTACAATAATTTGTAATAATCGATCTTTTATTCGTAAAATTACATTGAAAAGTTCTGGAAAATTATTTCTGAAAGGTGGGTGTCAAGCTCATACTACTAAAGGCGTATTAATAACAGAGCAAACAGTAGAATCGTTTTTTACAACACTACCTTTAAATTTAAGTATTTTAAATGATTCATGTTGCAATATTACACTTAATCAACGTTATCCAAAACCCATTCATTTGGATGAAATAAAAAATTTAAAATTCGACAAAGAAGCTTTTATAAAAAATATTTCAAAGTTAAATACACAAGATGAATTACTAAATTCAATATTATTAAATAAGACGTATGAATATGTATATACAAACAAATATTTAATCATTACAATAGTTATTATAATATTATACGCTAGTATAAATTAAATTTAAAGGTAGTGTTGTACTACCTGTATTATGTAACATTTTAATCTATATATAGATTAAAAAGTTACATAGTATATATAGTGCAGTAAAAATGTCATAATACAGGTAAAACTTAATATTACTTAATTCTGAATATTACACTAAAATGTAGCCTAAACTAACATAGTTTATCCAATTGCATATATTTTATCATACACGATACATTTAAGATTAAAATATGTGTTTTAACTAGATTTATGACATATTTACTGCAGTATATAACTAACTCAACATATAAACTGAATAATTTATCACATAGATATAATATAATAAATAAATAATATAGATATTATTGGTAATGATATTAATGTTTATTATTATTCAAAAAAACAATCTTGCAACCTTGCAAATAAATATGTATAAATAATAATGAAATAACATTTCATAATATTTAATAACTTCAGCTATTAGAATATAATATAAGTTAATACAATATTAATTAAATTCATTATAATTATATATTATTAGGAATAAAAAATTAGAATTTTAATATTATAATTATTGTAGGAAAATATTGATCATCAGTCTTTTATATAAATAAAAAATAAAAACATAAATTAAGAAACTTGTTTAACACAAAATAAATTTGTAATACAAAATAAAAATAAGAAATATAGTACATTGAATTCAGCTGAAAATTCTTCAATTTTGGTCACCTACATCTTCATTTAATTGCAGTATTCTTCTGGCCTTTTCTTTTTTCCTGATAATAAAATATTTATGGCATCATAGTTTTATTGATTAATTATAATTAATATTAAAAAATATATTCTTACGCTTCTTCTCTTTTAAACCTTTGTGGAGCTTGAACCAACCACTTCGCAACAATTTCTCCGTACATTTTATTAGTTAGATCAGCCTTTGTAAAGCGAACAAGTACTGGGAACAAAAAATTGTAATTATAGAAAATCAAGAACAATATATAAAAACTTTTATGTTTACATAAATAAGCATATATATATTTTATAATTTATTTGAATACAATTAACTAACTTAGAATGGCTTTATTAAATAGTTTAAAGTCATTGCTGAATGAACTTTTTGCCCCTTTTTCCTTCCAACTGTATTGACAAGCTAGCTGATTTGAAATTATATATGCTAGTGCATTGGTTACTACATCTTCATAATCAGTTCCTCCCAATCGTTTGAGATCATTCACCTACGTATAACGTGTAATAAAAAATTCCAATATGTTTAATATAAATATGCTATGGCTTGAAACATAAAAAGAAGAGCATAAATAATGTCAACCTGCTATTTTTATTTATATATATATATGAATAGCTATATAATATCATATATATACATGAAAAGTAGCATAATACCAGTAGTGCTAGTATAGTAATTATACGTATAATTACAAATTATCATTTTTATACTCTAACCAAGCCGAATAAAAGGCATATCAATTTGTTTATAACTAAATAACAATTAAGAACTTACTACTGTTTGACAATTATGCAATATTAAAATTAAAATATGATTTTACTCTGGATTTTACCAATAAAGTTAAATATGCAGGTTCATTTAATTTATTTTCAGCTGCTTTAAATTGACCATCAGTTAAATACGGGAGATCTGTATCAAAAGCTGTAAGAGTACTACTACCCACAAGTTCTGTCCCATTCAAACAAACATTAGAAGATGCATTCTGCTGCATTACATGTTCTTTAACTTCAGCAATTTCTTCACGTACTTGGATCATTTCGGAATTGATTTTTGAAAGCATCTTATAAACTTCTTTAGCAGTAAATACTAGCGGGTAGTAGAAATTTGTTAAAAATGAAGCAGTTATATCAATATTATTTAATAATTGCCTTTCTCAGATGACTTCTGTTTATTTATTTCAGTTTGGACCTTGTTTGAACTTTGAACTTCTGTAACAGTTTCAAATGTACTAATTAGATACAATTGTACAATAATTAGGTAATGTAAATGTAATATTTAGTTTAGTTTTAAAAAAGTACTCTGCAGCTATTATAGCTGGTGGTATGTTATAGTATAGCTGTGTCATATACTTTTTGTCAACGATGATTTAGGAGTAGAAATGTAGAATTAATTTGTTCATCAGTTTGATCTGGGAATTGGGATAACTGAGAAATTGAAGCATCTTCAAGTATATAACTATGTTGAGCTACAATAAAATACAAATAATATAATATATTTATCTAATGCTGGTTATCAGTAAGCAATAATAAGGATCTTTTTGTTCAAAATGAAGAAGTTATTATTAAATTAAAACTATTGTAGGTAAAATATTATTACCTAAATAATTACTTTTCTCGGATGACTTTTGTTTATTTATTTCAGTTTGATCTTCTGTAACAATTTTGAATGTAAAAATTAGGTAAAATGTGCAATAGTGAATAATATGTATAATATGTATAATATGCAATATTTAATTAAATTTTTAAAAAAAGTACTCAGTTATATTAGCTGGTGATATGCTCTAGTATTTTAGTAATTAGTGTTATATACTTGTAGCAAAATTAGTAGCAAAATTCATTGTTTCAACGATGTGATCATCTGGAAACTGTGGAAACTGAGCAGAAGCTGTAATATCTTCATGAACATTATGTTGAGCTATAAAATAAAATACAAACAATATTATATATTTTTAGTTAATATATTGATAATTTCCATTTGTATTACTTTGGTCTTCAAAAGTTGATTGAGTTTTTAATAAATTTGTATTTTCTATATCATCATATTTTTGGTTGCTTGTAATACTATTAGAATCAGAATCGGACAAGTTATCAAATAAGTTTTTTTTTGCTCTTAATTGCCTTTTAGCTCGCTTAGCTTTAGGGTCTGCATCACTAGCACTGCTTTCAACTTCTGAATACTTTTCAGCTATTTTTAATTTATAAATTCCTTCTTGGTATGTGTCTGTGTAATAAATATAGTTACGAGGAAAAGTTTAGTGCACAATACACAGCACATATATATAGACTTATAATTATAGAATATATTATGTGCACTAACTAATTATGGATAAGAATATATGCAAATTTAGTTCATATACCTATACAGGGTGATTTTTTTATCGAAGAACACTCATTATTTCAAAAAGTATTAATGTTTAAGAAAATATTTTTTTACATAGTTTCAAGTTGTTAAAAAACAATATTTTTATTAAAAAATTATATTTTTAAATATTTTTTATCCTTTTAATTTTTTAAGTTTTTTACTTTTTTGAATGACAACATCTAATTTTAATTTGATATTCAAAAACAGAATATTTTTCTGAGTATTTCGATACATAAAAATTGAATTTAGGGCAATTAGTTTATGAGTTATAAGTATTTAAAGTTTAGATGAGCGGAGTAGAGTGGTACGGGGTTACCCCGTGAAATGTTTGTCCTCTACTCCGCTCATCTAAACTTTAAATACTTATAACTCATAAACTACTTGCAATAAATTCAATTTTTATGTATTAAAATACTCAGAAAAATATTCTGTTTTTGAATATCAAATTAAAATTAGATGTTGTCTTCAAAAAAGTAAAAAACTTAAAAAATTAAAAGGATAAAAATATTTAAAAATATAATTTTTTAATAAAAATATTGTTTTTTAACAACTTGAAACCATGTAAAAAAATATTTTCTTAAACATTTATACTTTTTGAAATAATGAGTGTTCTTCGATAAAAAAAAATCACCCTGTATAGCATATTATTTATATATAAATATTATTATCATACTTGTTTTGCACAAAACTTTTTTGATAGGATATATTCCCCAAGATGGATCATTCGGCCTAGGCATAACTTGGCTTGACACCATTTTAGAATAAATCATTTTGTTTTCAATTAATGGCCAATGACATTTTTTGTGGTCTGCAGATAGCCAAATTGTAGGGACTAGATTGACTCCATCAGTAAATTCGACAACACTGTACTCCATATTGTTTATTGTACTGTTATAGGTAATACCTATTATAATATAATTATTAAACACAATTAAAATAGTATAGGTATTAAATATTTACAATTGTTTAAGATATTCCTTTTGGATATGGTATATAATGTATTTACAGTTTAATTAATTTTCATATTATATAATATGTTTCGTTGTACAAACAATATTATATATAGTAGCATGAATAGCACAAGATTTAAATTATACATATTATAACTAATAACTATACCTATATATATATGTATATAGTTATAATATGTATAAGTTAAAACTTGTAAAAAAGTTAAAAATTATAAATTTTCTTTATTAATAGAATGAATAATAGGAAAATGCAAATATTTATTTTTATAAGGCATTAACCAAGACTTGCATTTTATATCATCAATATTAAATGAAAATAACCCACAAGACCAGTCAGAGCTATTCTGTACTTTACTAAAATAAATGCCTAATTTATCAGATTTACAGGGAGAAGTATACAAGTCATAGTTAACATTCTTTAAATTTTCACCAATAAAACTAGTTTCATTATTAACCACTATTATGTTTTTAATTTGAACAATCTTCTTATTTTTCAATATACAAAAACAGTTTTTAAACGCATCGCGTAAAGAGAAATACAATCTACCATTTGAAAAAGTTTTATACTGTTTAATATTCAAGTCAACAAAATCAAAAGTTACTGGTCCATCACTATACTCATTTTTATGAACTATTTTTGACTGGCATTCCTGTTCATAATTAATTAAAGAATTTTCTCTTTCAATGTAACGTTTAGTAAGTTGCTGCAAAGGATGTTGTGATTTTTGTAATTGTTTCTTGACAAACATCATATTATTTTCAAACTTAAACGCTGAAAATACATCTAATGCACCATATTTTTTAACATCATCAGACAAATGAAGTAAATTATGAACATTATGAGAAACTAAGTATTCTCCATATAGATTTTGAAACTTGAAAACAAACATCTGTAATAATTTATGAGAATATGTAATAAAATGTTCTGATTTTATTAGTTCAGGATTCAATAAAATAGATATGGCTACATGTAAAATTATAAAATGATCATAGTAATCAGATTTTAAAACTGACTTTAAAACAACAGGCCCTGTATATAAAAGAAACTGTCGAAATTCGGTAGCTTTCCAGTTTAGAAACTCAGAGAGAGCTCTTGGTTTTCGTGCAAAGTCTTTTGGAGTATACTGTTGCATTTCAATTAATTTTTCAGAAATTACCTTGTTATCGGATGGTTTTAATTTTAAAAAACGAGGTCCTTTAACCCAAAGATAAATAAGTTTCTTCATTACACCAAGACATACCACATGACAATAATCTAGAGGAACGCATGATACTGACCAAAAACTAGGCACAGATGTAGTAAAAATAGAAATGCCATGTTGATATGTATTTTTGTACACAAATTTAGAAAAATCTTCATCAGTTCTCAAATTAAATTCAGAATATTCTTCATCAGATGGAAAACACAATCTATTATTAATGTATTTCCCAAGTACAGTACATTTAGAACAACTACCATATGCTGTATGTCCACTAGTACATAATACAAATGATTTAGCCGGTGCGTCGCAAATCAAAGCAGACAAGACCACTGTTATAATTTCACCTTCTTCAGTTAAAAATCCATCGTTTATTAAAGGAACTAATTCTGATATAAATTCTTCTAAATATTCATTAGGACACTTAGGTTTTCCGTAACCATGAAAAACCGCCTACTATGAAAACTTTTTTCTTTAAACGCAATTCAGATATCATAATGGGCCAAAAACAACTTTGATTGGACCGAGAAATAGGTAGTCCATCAATATTAAGTGTTAAATTAATTTCTTTAAAATTTCCAATCTCTAATTTCAGAGCTAAAATAATTGAATGTACTGCTATTTTAAGGCCAAAATGACAGTACTTTCCCCCTTCTATTAACTTTATTCTAACACTACGAGGAGTACTAAGTAAAGTCCTAGCATCACTTGGTAACTCAAACGTTGTAAATTTTTTCCAAATTTTTAACATTGAAGAAAGTGATGCTAGTGTTGTATTGTGATTAAAATGCCACTCACGCAACTGTTCTTCTAACAAACTACAATTCAAGTCTAAATTACTACAATCATCAGTGACAGTATTATCATCCTTGTTATTTTCAATTAAACTCCTATCGATATTATTAATTTCAACAAGATTAATATTACTGCTATCGTAAGAATCACATGAACTACTGATAGGGCTGGAACAGTATGAAGAATTATTGCTAGAGCTAGAAAAATGTTCATTTCCATCATTCTGCGCACTATTATTACAACTTAAAGAAAATATTGGTAAATTTTGTCCACTGCTCTCGTTATTCATTTTAGGTTCTGCATTAGATGATGTAGATGCACATACAATTGTAGATTGAATTTCTGGTGCTCTAATAATATCATCTTCACTAGTGGTATCAGAATAATATTCGTCGTCTAATCTCCTACAAAACTCATTGTTGATTCGCCTAATGTGTCTTTTAGAACAGTTTTTCAACTTTTTACGTTTATTATCAGCCATGATCAGGAGAGTAAAACCTAATAAATAACGTTTAGAAAAGAAAGTAAGAAATAGGAACTGCAATACCTAGCTATAATATATGTATATTATTAATAGGTATATAATATATAGGTTTAGGATATGTGTATAATATGAGTACCTATATCTACCCCCAAGGGATATAAATTACTACTTGTATAGTTACAAACTAAAATAATAGTTATCACTTATTAAAATAAGGTACCTACTATAGTAAATATATTTCTCCTATACCTATAATAATATTATGATATATTGTTAACAATAGCTTATATAAATAATATACTTACATCCTAATAATTACCAAGAATGATAATGTATATATTTTATAAATTAACACAGCAGCTGGAGAAAATCGATGGTTATAATTCACTTTCACTCAGGGGGTCTATTCTCGAAAAGAGCGACCAAACGTATACGTTACTACTCGTACACGAGCAGTTCGTTACCTTTGCTCGTCTACGTTCATCATCTCGTATTCTTGAACAGCGTACGAGCAATGAAAACGACCGATTCGTATACGAATAACTCGAACGTACGAAATATTAAAAATGTAGTTGGTAACTCTGTAAAATGTCTGTCTTATCACAGTTTTGGCGGGCTTTTAAAAAAAATGTTATGTTATCACAGTCGGTCGGCGTAGAAATGACTAATGATAATGGATAAATAATTATTTAAATAGCTTTAATTATAACTAATAATATTGATTAATGATTTGTGCATAGGTAGTAGGTATTAAGTTTTGTTTTGTTTTCTAATAAACATATGATATTTCCGTCTTTATAGTTTTTTTTTTTGCATTCGTCCTTTTGTCCATGACAAATTAAGTAAATAAATTTAATTTGTCATGACTCATGATTTATTCACAATTAAATAAAAAAGTTGTAGTGTTTTAAATTGTTAATAAGTTTTAAAAATGGAGTCAAAAAAATGCAGAAAACCGAATTCTACAGAAAAACAAAAAAATATGTTGGTAGATTTTATAGTTTTTCATCCTGAGCTTGTGTCTGGGAAAAATACTATAAAATCTTCAGTAAAACAGAGACAAAAACTGTGGGAAAATATAGCGAATATGTTAAACAGTGAGGTTGGACCACATAAATCGTGGGACGAATGGAGAAAGGTAAATATTTATAATAGAAAATATATATAATTGTAATTTATTTTTATTGGAGTTTGGATTTAAAAGTAATATAAAAAATAAAAAAAGCATTTTAAATGTAAAATGACTGAGAACTTTTAATATTTACATCTCAAATGCATCAACTTGATTCACTTCTCTATCAAAAAATCAGAGCATTTCTACTCTCCCAAAAAATGATGACGGGTAGAAAAAACACATATCATTGTAATTGTATTTTAACAATTATTGATATGTACCTTAAACATAAAAAAATTGTTGTAATAGATTGATAAATTAACACAAAATATAATAAAAGAGTAAACATAATGTTAACCCATTAACATAGAAATTAAATCAATCACATTTTTTTTTATGAATTACCTTCATATGCAAACCCTACTTATTAACCATCAATTGTATTGTTTATACTAATACATATTACTTATGTACCTATGTTTTAACCTGAAAAATATTTTTCAGACATGGTGTGATTTAAAAACAAATACAAAAGGGAAAGCTGGCATTATAAGGAAAGAACAAAATAAGACAGGTGGTGGTGAGGTTGATTATAGTGAGCTTAATGAGCTAGAGAAAAAAATATTTGATGTGTTGGGTCCTACTGTCGTGGAAGGACATAATTCAGTTTCTGAAAGTCCAGTTAATATGAATTTTTTTAGAAATAACGTTCTGTAAGTTTTATTTTAACAGTGTTGTAAGATACTAGAGTAAAAGTAACTGTATCTGTACTTGAATACTTTTAAAACATATTTTTTACAAAACTATGTTTTAAACATTGTTAAGGATAACTTTTAGTATTAAATAGTATTTTCGCCTATATTCGCTATTAGTAAGTATCATAGAAAAAAAAATGAGTAAGTATTGTAAAAGTTTGTCTTAAATATAATGTTATTGTCTAAACTGAAATTATTTTTCTAACAAATGTAATTTGTTTATAATAGGTATATTTAACTATAAAATATATAATATTATATGGTTTTTGTTACTTGTTTGTATTGAAATAATAACAATTATAGTATAACATTTATATTAAAATTTGGTTGTATAAAGGATGTAACAAGAAGAACAAAGACCTGACAAAAAATAAATTGTTACTTAAACGTGCGACAAAAATTGTGAAAATTATATGGTTAGTAAATAATTTAAGAAATGTACTTGTCAAGAAATTCCCAAAAATAAAATGTTGAGAATAGTTATGACATTCTAAATTAATTTAATAAAAAAAATATTGATATTTAAAAAAAATTCTAAAAAATATTCTACTTGACTT